CCCCCTCCTCACCCCCACCCCGTCTCAGCTGCTCCTAATTTCTTCCTCCTCCTTCATGAGTCATGTGAACGTTCATCAGACTGAGCCTTATTTTTGTTTACCAGACTTCAGTGAATCAGAACTTTGTTCTCGAGGAACAACTGCTGGACTCAGATCCTCAGAAAAACAATTCTTTCTTTCATCTTAAAATGTTTTAAATATTTGAACTTTGAGAAGAAGAAAAACATTAAAACTCACTGTTCAGTAAACGAGCTGCTGTGTGTGTGTGTGTGTGTGTGTGTGTGTGTGTGTTTCAGGGGGTCTTTGTGGACGTGATCGAGAGGCTCTCCGTCATCATTGGCTCTAACGTGAGTGACCTGTGTCTGTGTTGAAGGTCAAACGGGCATCTCTCTCTGACCTTCTTCTTCTTCTTCTTCCTCTGTTCTCTGTCTTCCTCTTTTCCCTCCTCCTCCTCCTCCTCCTCCTCCACAGGGTGCAGTGATGAAGGCAGATGTTGAAGGAGAGATTAAAGTCAAGTGCTACATGCTGAACTGCTCAGGTGAGTCCCAGGTCACATGGTCCCAGGTCACATGGTCCCAGGTCACATGGTCACATGGTAGAGTGTTCCCTCTCTGTCACCTGATAAATAAACAGTTTCTAACCTGAAAAACTCAACTCAAAGACACGACCGGAGATGGAACACAGCGTTGTGTTCCTCTCTCTGATTGGCTCATTCATCACAGCGTCTCTCAGTCTCAGACTTCTGTTCTGACACAGACGACGGTTCAGTCTCTTTGATCTTTCTTTGTTCCATCTGGAGCCACGTGGGCGGAGCCTGCAGCGCTGTAGAAGGCAGAGCTCCTGCGGTGGACACTCAGAGAACTGTTCAGTCCCTCAGTCCTGGAACTGACTGTTTCATGTTCCTCTGTGACAGAGATGAGGATCGGTCTGAATGAGGAGTTCAGCATCGGCAGGTCCACGCTGAGAGGTGCACGCACACACACACACACACACTCTGACAGGTTTATTTTGAATCTGTCAAATGTCCCACTCAGTTCATATGTAGGTCACAGGTCAAACACACGTCTGCTCTGGACACGTCACGTCCTCGTCACCAGGGTTTAATGAAGACTTCACCAACTTCACTATGACTAGTCACTGTTGTTATTACTGTTGTTATTACTGTTGTTATCACTGTTGTTATCACTGTTGTTATTACTGTTAGCAGTAGTACTTTCACTTTCACTTCATTCTGTCTGTTCCTCTGAAGTTAGTCTGACCCGGTTTGATGACATCATCAGGTTACGGAGCAGCTGTTCATGTGGACGAGTGCAGATTCCATCAGGCTGTGAAACTGGACGAGTTTGATGACCATCGTATCCTGAAGCTGTGTCCCAGTCAAGGAGAGGTGGAGACGTTTGCTACATCTGAAACCTGGAATTCTCTTCTCCCAGTCTCCCACACCAAACCTCACGGAGAAAATCAGAGATTTTAGTTCAGACCAAACCTCACGGAGAAAATCAGAGATTTTAGTTCAGACCAAAGTCCATGGAGAAAATCAGAGATTTTAGTTCAGACCAAAGTCCATGGAGAAAATCAGAGATTTTAGTTCAGACCAAAGTCCATGGAGAAAATCAGAGATTTTAGTTCAGACCAAAGTCCATGGAGAAAATCAGAGATTTTAGTTCAGACCAAAGTCCATGGAGAAAATCAGAGATTTTAGTTCAGACCAAAGTCCATGGAGAAAATCAGAGATTTTAGTTCAGACCAAAGTCCATGGAGAAAATCAGAGATTTTAGTTCACAGACAGCCAGGTCATATGATCCAGTAACTCTTCTGTGATTGGCTCTCGTCTCTCAGCCTTATTTTTGTTTTCTGCTTTTTCTTCTCTCAGCAAACAGTGATGCAGTATCAGCTGAGTGACAACCTGCCGTCGCCGCCTCCATTCCGACTCTTTCCAACCATTGAACGAGACAACAGAGGCAGGTAAATGTACAACACACGAACCACTAGAGGGCGTGTGTTTGTGGTTGACCGATACCTGAGGATACAGATGGACAAGAATAAAGAGAGCACAACAGCTGTTCAATAAAGTAAAGCTGTGGGTAGTAAGGTCACTCAGAGGTCACTCAGAGGTCACTCAGAGGTCACTCCCAGGTCACAGTGTTGCTGAATGGTTGCTGTTGTTCTTCTGCAGGCTGCTGATCTACATGAAGCTCCGCTGTGACCTCCCTCCAAAAAGGTCAGCGTCACATCTTTAACACTGGCTTCTGTAATCACTGACATAAAACATCAAAATGATGTCACTGATGATGTCACTGATGATGAGGTGGTTTATCTCTGCAGCGCAGCCATCAATGTCTCTGTGTCCGTCCCTGTCCCTAAAGGCTGCGTCAGGTGAGACGTCCAGTCAAATGTGTCTGTGTGTGTGTGTGTGTTAACAAAGCAGGACGCGTCAGAGACGAGCTGAAGTCACATGATCCTGTTTTGTTAGTGAAAGTGTTGGAAGTGGATCAGATCATGTGATCAGATGATCTGTGTTTTTATTGGTTCAGAGGAACTGTGTCCAAACATGGATTTGTTTAAAGT